CGGATGTTGAGATGATGTCGCGGGCAGAGAGGCAGCTCCCCCTCTGGCCTGCCAAGACTCAAGCCAGGGGCTGAAACACAAGAGCAGGCATTGGTCCCACCCTGATCCCCTGAACAAGAGCTGCACTGTGCACACCCCTCCCCTCCCCCCACCCCACCCCTCAGGCCAGGCCAGGGTCAGGCAGGGCCACCCATGGAGGCCGGAAACAGGACACTCAGGCAGCAAGGGAGCAAGGGAGAGAGGGTCAGGAATATACAGTCAGACCTGCAGGCAGAGAGAGGCTGTGTCCTCATAGCCCTGAGTCTGGAGTGACAGGGATGGCCACGAGGTGTCCCAGGCATTTCCAGGACACAGAGAAGCAGACCCATGCGAGGGAGACCCAAGCCCACAGTCCTAGAAGCAGGGAGGTTCCAGGTGATGGTGATCCCAGAGCGCCTTGGGCAAGGACACGGGAATCATAGGCCCCATTGCGCAGACAGAGCCTTTACCAGGGCCCCAAGGCTCCTTGGCTGACTTCACTCAATTGTCCATCAACACAGTCATTGCAGTTCAATTCTGCAGCCCTGTGTTGGGCACAGGGGCGGAGAGATGAAAAGACACTGTCCCCAACTTCATGGGAGCAGCTAAAATCAGAGTCTGGATTCCAGGGAGCTATTTATATTCTAAGTGCCTGTCTTGCCTACAGTCCTCTCTGCTGGTTTCTTTTTTTAAAATATATTTTTATTGATTTCAGAGAAGAAGGGAGAGGGAGAGAGAGTTTGAAATATCAATGCTGAGATCCTACTGGGGATCGAGCCTGCAACCCAGGCATGGCATGTGCCCCGACCAGAATGGAGCCATGACCTCCTAGTTCATAGGTTGACGCTCAACCCCTGAGCCACACTGGCTTGGCTCTGCTGGTTTCTTAAGTCACCACACTCCGAACCAAGTGACCCAATTGCTCTGCCACTAACAGGACCAGAGGTGGGCCTGGCCCTCATTCAGTTGGCCAGAGGCCCATGAAGTAGTCCGGTTGGAAACTGCCCTCCACGATCAGATTTACTAACCCAAGTAGATCCTCTCTCAGGGAGTAAGGCAGCGACCCAGGGAAAGCTGTGAGCAAGAGCAAGAGGCCACAGGAGCCAAGCACAGCAAGGACGCTAGGCAGGCAGGCCATGCAGGGGGAACAGAAGCGAAGGCCCAGAGTGGCCGAGCCTCTGGACCACTAAGCACCAGACTTGGAAGCATCAGGCACCTGCATCGCTGTGGCAACGATGAGACATCCACGTAAGTGGAGCTGCTCTGCTTCCTGAACATCCGTGGAAATGCCATGGGGCTTGGAGAGAAGGGACACGCTCCCCGCATTCCTTACTTCCCCACGAGTCTCACGACAATGCCTACGACACTCAGGTGAGCATTTCTCTGGTCCTTGTTACCCAAAATAGCCAAACAAACCTTGCTTCTCACATCCCTGCCTGTCTGGCCTCTTCCCAGCAGAAGCCCAGCCTGGGATCCAGAGGGAGCCACAGGGGGCAGCAGGAGCCCTGGACCGAAGTCCAGAGAGATTTAAATCCTGCGTTTGCAGTGTATCTGCCTTTCAGAGCCTCAGTTTCCTCATCAGACATTGGGGAGGAAAGCCTGTTGCCCCAGAGGCTGTTGGGAGAATGAAATGAGACCGCCTCCCCCAGAGGTTAACCCTTCACACTCCCTCTGGCCTCTCACCCCATTTTCATGGCTTTCATCTCTATTCCAGACGGGCACCCAGAACTGCCATTAGTCTGGGACCCTCGCTCTAACCACACCCCCAGGCTGGGCTGGGGCTCTAGACACCTCCCTGGAGCCTGGGTTCTGATCTAAAAGAAGAGCCTTGGGGGGGTTGTGGGGGGGGGGAGCAGTGAATAGTGGAATTTCAAATACTTGTGACCAGTCAGTGAACAGGTTGTTCAAGCCTGGGCCCACTTAGTCACATTGTCCCTCATCCCAGCGCCTCCGCACAAGGGAGGGGGCCCAGGGTCGGGAGCCGGACTCCGGTTAGAACAGGAAGTCCTGCCCGGATGTCGGGCCTCACATGAGACTGTGTCACCTCGGCTCTGGCTGTGGTGTCGCACGAGAACTGTCACAAGGCACTTTTTCTCGTTTCTACCCACGTCTCCTCATCTCTCCGCCTTTCTCTTGAGGACCAGCGGCCAGTCAGCTCTGGGCTGACCCCACCCCCATCCCTGCCCCTAGTAGCATGAGATCTGGATTCACATTCTGACTTGGCTACTTTCCGACTGTGCGACACTGGACAAGCTGCCTCACCTCTCTGAGCAAGATGGAGTGAATGAAATGACAACAAGGGAAGGACCAAGCAAGTGGCTGGGGGTTCCTCCAATGTCCATTTCCTTCCTGCTCCCCAGGTCCAGAGCCCTAACCTAGGGCCATTAAAGGGGCTGGAAGAGGCCAGAGGTCCAGTGCTGAGCTCTAGGTGTCATGTGATCAAACACATGCCCACCAGGTGACCTGCAGCAGGGCACTGCGGGGCTTTGAGCCTCTGTTTATATTTATCAAGTGAGGGTGTAATAGGGGTGTAGTGTAGCTAATGTCAGGCCCACCTTCTCTGGTCATAGAAGGCTGCCAAGAGGAAGGAACTGAGACTCCCTTTGGGTGGGAAGAGGGAAAAATGGGCAAGAGAGAGACTGCCCTTTAAGGTCGGAGGCTGGTGGAGGGGGGATGGCAGGAGGCGAGTCACCAGGGGGCACAGGGCTGGGCAGGCTCTGCACCTCCATCAGCCAGGGGTCAGTTGGAGGAGCTACTCCATGGACGTAGCCTCACAAAGGCTCAGGCCTATTCGGAGAGGACTCTGCTAGCAACACACAGAGTCACACACACACTTGTCCATGCGGTCACACAAAGGCACTTTGGACACACACATTCACATACTCCTTACACTCGGGGACGCTCACATAGTGACACACACACAAAGACACACTGAGAGACAGTCACAGGCATTATTGCACCCAACTATAGCTACACAGAGGCACACATTCACACACGCACCTGTATACAACATCCACACAGACACAGGAGCAAACACAAAGACACACACTTGTGCACTCAACAGGAGCACCAATAGAAACACAACCATACTCACTCCTGCACACCCAGGACATCTGCAGACACAGAGGCACACACAAAGACGTGCTCGGACACATTCACACAAGCTTGCACACTTGAGTACTCACTGTCAAAGACACACACTCATTTTGCACACAGTCCTGTATTCTCTGGACATTCAGTTGGTCGTTCAGACACACACACACACACACACACACACACACACACACACACACACACACGCAGCCTCCCTCACCCAGCCCTGCAGGCATCCCCAGCTCTCCAGCCTATTAGGCTCAACTCTTTCTCCCCACCCACTTCCCACCATCCTCTGGGGCCTCTGGGACCTCCCTCTGGAGCTGGGGGAGGGGATGGGGCAGGGCTCGCCCTGCTGATGTGGCAACTCACTCACCTGCAGCCTGGCCTCACCCTCCGCTGGGAAAGGCTTAAAGGAGCAGGAATCCCAAGGGCTGACCCGCCTCTGCTCTTGTTTCTCAGATGGGGAAAGTGAGGCTGTGAGAGGGGTTAGATGGTGAATGGAACTTGAACCCACAGCTGCAGTGTCAGGAGCAGAGTGTGTGTGTGTGTGTGTGTGTGTGTGTGAGTGTGTGTGTGTGTGTGTGATGCTGTGAATGGGGAAGGCTGGGTTTCAGGCTCACCTTCTGCCTGCCCTGGCTGGCTGCCTGTTGAACCTGCTCCTTTTACCATTCCCAATCTTACTAACAGGCACTCCCACCCTCTGCAATCCTTGTCTCCATAGCCAGTACCATATGGCCTGAGCCAGAAACCTGGGCATGTGAGGCGCACACACACACACACACACACACACACACACACACACACACGACCAGCTACTGCAACCTGTCGAATCTATCTCCCCCGTTTCCTCAAGCCTGGGAGGGGGGCAGCCTGTGCAGTGAGCAGTCCAGCTCTGCTACTTCCCAGCTCTGTGACTTAAGGCAAGTCACTGCTTTTCTCTGAACAAACCTCAGTTGCCTCATCTATAAACGGGGTGATGGTCATGCTTACCTCCCAAGACTGGATTGGTGAGAGAATGAAACAACATATAGAGGCAGAGTGCTGCAGGGCCATTCCCAGGGACTCAGAAGGCTTGGTGAGTGAATCAGAGACATAAGGAAGAGGTGCCAGGACTTACTGAGCTGGGCCCCGTCATACCCTCCTGGGGGTCCGCAGGACCAGACTCTCGCAGTGTGGTTTGCTATTAGCTTGCTGCTGCTTCAGAAGCCCTGGCAGCCCAGCCCAGCCCTAATCTCTGTACTGTGATGGGAGGGGGCCTAGCTGGTGGGCAGGGGGCGGGGGGGGTGGGGGGTGACCCTTAGGGCCTGTGCCCAGGAAGGCACAGCCATACCTGTGAGAATGACCAGTCTAGTGGAGGAGATCCAGTTCCACTCTGACCCCCGAGGGCCCAGCGTAATCAGACCCATTCTGTCCTCAGGGCCCCAAGACGTTAGTGGGGGAGTTGTGGCTCTGCCCCAAGGGCTCCAAGTCTGATGGGAGACAGCCTAATCCAAGAGCTCCCAAGCTGGTGGGGAAGACACTTCCCCTGGGATCCCCAGTCTGCTGGGACGGTTCATCCTCATCTATGGCCACCAGGCTGCTAAAGGAGCCACCACACTGGCTCTCAGTGACCCCAAGTCCCAAAAGAAGAGAGTGAATATGTTCCTCGGACACACGGGTACCCAGACACAGAGAAACGGAGATGAGCACCGATGACTGTGCTTGTGTGTGTGCCTCTTGCACATGAGTGTTTGTGGCTCGGTTCGAGTATGTGACTGCGTGTGGCTGTGCCTGTTCCTGTGGCTGTGCATGGGCCTCTGAGCCAAGAGCTGTTGCAAACGCTCCGTGAATAAACCCAGCTGGGTTGAATCACTCATTCATCGGACACGTGTTCGCTTTGTTCCAGTCACTGAGCCCTACGAGACCATGGAGCCCTCAGTAGGTGTGGCTCCTGCTCTCAGGGACATCACTGTGTAATGGAGGTGGATGAAGCACGAAGAAAGCATGAAGACTGCAGGAACACAGGGGAGGGGGACTTCCTGGAAGCGGTGATATTTGAGCTGCACCCAAAGTAACAGGCTTTAGAGCTGGGGGGAAGGGTGTTCCAGGGAGAGGGAACAGCATGTGCAAAGGCTGTGACCCGGGGAGAGAGCCCAGGAAAGGTTTGCGGGAGGAGCTGAGTGGATGCAGTATTGGAAGAGGTAAGTAGGCAAGAAGAGGGGGCATAGCTTCAGTTTTTGTTTTTTCTTTGTGTGTGTGTGTGAGTGTGGGGTATGAGTGTGTGTGTGAGTGTTTGGTGTGAGTGTGAGTGTGTGAGTGTGGGGTATGAGTGTGTGTGTGAGTGTGTGGTGTGAGTGTGTGTGTGTGTGTGTGGTATGAGTGTGTGGTGTGAGTGTGTGTGTGTGAGTGTGTGGTATGAGTGTGAGTGTGTGAGTATGGTGTGTGTGTGTGTGTGGAGTGTGTGTGAGTGTGGGGTATGAGTGTGTGTGTGTGTGTGGTGTGAGAGTGTGTGTGTGAGAGAGTGTGTGTGAGTGTGTGGTATGAGTGTGAGTGTGTGAGTGTGTATGGTGTGTGTGTGTGTGTGTGGAGTGTGTGTGTGTGAGTGTGGTGTGTGTGTGTGTGAGTGTGTGGTATGGGTGTGAGTGTGTGTGTATGGTGTGTGTGTGTGGTGTGTGTGTGTGTGAGTGTGGTGTGTGTGTGTGTGGTGTGTGTGGGGGGGGTGTGTGTATGAGGGGTTGTGAGTGTGTGTGTGTGGAGTGTGTGAGTGGGGTGTGTATGTGGAGTGTGTGTGTGTGGAGTGTGTGTGTGGAGCGTGTGGGGTGTGTGTGTGTGTGAGTGTGGGGTGTGTGGTGTATGTGTGTGGATTGTGGGGTGTGTGTGTGTGTGTGTGGAGTGTGAGTGTGGTGTGTGAGTGTGTGTGAGTGGTGTGTATGTGGAGTGTGTGTGTGTGTGTGTGTGTGTGAGTGTGGGGGGTGTGTGTGTGTGGAGTGTGTGTGGGGGGGTGGGGGTGTGAGTGTGGTGTGTGTGTGTGTGTGTGTGTGTGTGTGTGAATGTGGTGTGTATGTGGAGTGTGTGTGTGTGTGTGTGTGTGTGTGTGTGAGTGTGGGGTGTATGGGGTGTGAGTGTGTGTGTGTGGAGTGTGTGTGTGTGTGTGTGTGTAGTGGAAATAGCCAGAGTGTGCTCGCCTGAACCTGTACCTGGGGATGGAAGGACAGTGTCCAGAGGAGCCAGAGGGTCTGAAGGTGAAAAGCAAGTGCAGAGGCTGATGCTGCCGGAGGGCGGAGGGCGGAGGGCGGAGGGCGAGGCTGGGCGCTGAGTCCTGCCCTGCTCTGGGCTGTGCTGGGAGAGACCTAGAGAAGCCGGGGAGCCTGGGAAAGGTCCCCAGTAGAGCCCCCGCTTTAGAGGGAATTGAATAATGGCTCCCCCACGGGGTAGAGGTGAGAATTACATTACACGCCTTTCCCCAGGTTGCCCTCCACGGAGCCCTGCGTTCTTCATTCCTCTCGAGAGCTCTGCTCCTGTTTCCCGTTTGTTTCTAAGCCCAGGAAGCAGATTCCGCAAGGCCCGAGGCTACGGAGCAGAGCGTGAGGGAGCCGTCTGGACTGGAGCCCGGGCTGAGCCTGAGCTTGGCGCCTCCCTGAGTCTCACGGCCTCCCAGCACGCGAATGCGCCTTTTGAATCGGTTGCGGGTGGATCTGGTGCTGTTACTATTATTGTTGTTTATTATTGATTACCAAGGTGATCCGAAAACATCCTGATTCAGCTCCGGCTCCGACCTCCCGGCTTCCCGCACTTAAAGCTCCGGGCCCAGGCGGCCCCGCGTGGCCGCGGTGGGAACTGCAGTCTCCAGGGCGCGGGGTCGGCGTGGTGGCGCCCCTGGAGGCGGCGCTGGGCACTGCCGCGAGAGCCCGACCGCTGAGCGCGGTGTCCTCTGCAGGCTGGTCAGCACCCGCATGGGTCCCGGGACAAGGGTCCCAGCTGGTGGGTAAGAAAATAGAAAATAAAGAGAATAACACATATGAGGCGACTTTTATATACTGGACAGAAGCTGGGCATTTCCTCCACGTTTTCTCATTTAACACCCACTCAACCTCATTTCCTAGAAATGGAAGCTGAGGTTCACAGAGCTTAAGGAACTGACCCAGAATTGCAGACCTGGATTTGAACCCAACTCTGCCAAAGTCTGCGGCCGAACCCAGAACCCCTCCCACTAAGTCCAAAGAGGAAACGGCCCCTGGACCCTCTGACTAGACTGTAAGCCTCTGGAAGTCAGGCATAAAAATGGTGATGATAAAAATAATAATAATAATTCAGTCACTAGTGGGGGCAGTGTACCGAATTTGAGCGTCACTATTTCCTGCATGTGTGTCTTTGGTCAACTAAGTTACTTCACCTCTCTGTGACTCAATTTTACCACCAGTAAGTGAGCTTTAAAAAAAAATTTTTGTTTCGCATGGGAAGCATCAATCAGTTGCCTCCTGAATGTGTGTCCCTACTGGAGATCAAACATGCAACCTGGGGATGTGCCCTGACCAGGAAACAAACTTGCCACCTTCTGGTGCAGGGGATGTCGCTCCAACCTGCCCAGCCACACCAGCCAAGGCAGGGAGTGAGCTTTCTTAAAGTCTTACGTTACAGGGCTATCGATGTTCTGAGGATTCAGTGCAATCATGCAGACGCAGTGCTTAGCTTAGCGCCTGGCATGTAGAAGGGCTCAAGGAAACAGCCAATATGATTTACTCACTCAGACACTATTTACTGAAAACCTGGGACCTAGGGATACAGGGGAAGAAGGACAGATATTGTTCTTGCTTTGATGATTTCCTAGTTTCTGTGTCCCTAGGATCTAGCACATTGCTGGCTTAATAAATGTTGAAATGAATGCATAAAGAAGCAAATGAAGGAATAAATAGACAAATGTACTGCAGTAAGAGGGAGAAAGGCGGGTTTTAAAAAATAATAGCTGGAACAAAAATACAAAAAAATTAAAAAAACTAAACACACACACACACAAAAGCTAATATTTTGGTCGCACTCCCAATGTATCAGTACTTGACTAAATGCTTTTTGTATCCTCAGTTCATGCTCACAGCAAACCCATAAGGTGAAGCGTTACCCGATTTTACAGAGAAAAACACCATCTCTGAGAGGGAGAGTGACTTTCCTAAGGTCACAAAGTAAGTGCAGGGCAGGCTTTAGGCTTGGGCCTGCTGCCTCCAAAGCTTGGCTTTGAACCCGTGCTCCCTTGAAGCAGTGGCTGGAGGGCCCAGCTGGGGCATCTTCCGCCAGCCTCCTGCCACCTCTGGATGGTTGGCTAGAGCTCTTGGCACACAGAAACTCAGCAGAATGGCCTCCACCAGCACCAGTAATAATGGGGGATGTTCTACTCTCAGTTTACTTCGCCTAGCTCGCTCACGTGCTGAGCCTCACATTTGACTGTTTCATAACACTCCTGTGAAGAGAGTGTTAATTGCCTATTTCACAGGCCGGCAACCGAGGTTCAGGAAGGCCGGGCTCGAAAGGTCATGTGGGGCGGGCTCTGGGGTATGGTGGAAACTGCTGCCCTCTGGTGCCTCGCTACTGCCAAGCTCACCCTCTGCCAGTCATCCTCCCATCCCTCACCACTCTCATAGCCCCTTTCCTGACCTGTTCTGGCCAGGGTCACTATAGGCCAGTGGTTCTCAACCTTCCTAATGCCGCGACCCTTTAATACAGTTCCTCATGTTGTGGTGACCCCCCAACCATAAAATTATTTTCGTTGCTAATTCATAACTGTAATTTTGCTAGTTATGAATCGTAATGTAAATATCTGGTATGCAGGATGTATTTTCATTGTTACAAATTGTACATAATTAAAGCATAGTGATGAATCACAAAAACAATATGTAATTATATATGTGTTTTCCGATGGTCTTAGGCGAACCCTGGGAAAGGGTCATTCAACCCCCAAAGGGGTCGCGACCCACGGGTTGAGAACCGCTGCTATAGGCCTAAGCCTGAGTACGGGGAGCTAAGCGGGACCTCTTGGGACCCTGCCTGGAGGGTAGCATGAGGTCACTATTCACCAAGGATGGGATTTTGATCTGTTCACAACTTTTCAGATTCTGGTTTTTGGTGGTGATTTAGAAAAAGGGTCTCCCCCAAATTCTCTGCCAAGGGCTCATTTTCCCTGGGGGTAGTTCTTACCTCAGGGGTCTCGGCAGAAAACAGGGGAACACTCAAAGTATTTGCCAGAAGAGGGTTTAATAAAGGGACTATTCACAGAGATGGGGCAGGAATGGTGAAGCACCCTGGGGGTCACAACAGTGGAATGGAGTCACTCCCCACAGGCCCGAAGGAACCAAGGGAGGGGAGGGAGCCTTGTTAATGAACCTGGAGAGAGGTGTATCCATGGGTGCAGGCCAACCAACAGGAACTTGGGGTGGAGGTGCCAAAATCACAGGGGGAGAAGGCATTATAAACATCCTGATCTCACTCTCCTCCTTCCCTCTGATCTCCTGCCAGTGTCTCCTATGGCCAAACTCCCGCTGAAACCAAAAGGCAAGGGGGCCCAGGTGAGACTGTCAGCAGGAATCAGCCCCCGGACAGACAGCGGTGCTGAGAAGCGTGGAGAGCGGAGGCTAGGCCGAGAGGTGCTAGCCCAGAGCTCTTCTCTTCCTGGACTCTGCTTTGTGGAGGGGCTGAGAGACGGTGGCTGTGCTTGCTTTTCAAAGCAGCCGTGCCTGTCGCAGAGCATCCACTGTCATCTTTTCAGGCCCAGGTTTGTCCCCGAGGCTGTGCAGTCCCCGGTTCCCAGCGCCAGTGATTTGCTATTATTCTCTGCATGGGTCCGTTTCCCCAGGAGACAGTCCCAGCATCCTCTATCCTGCGAGCTCTTTGCAGGCAGGGGTCTGGGCCAAATAAAGCTATTTTCTCTGACACAGGGCCTGGCACAGACCAAGTGCCAATGTCTGCCAAGTGCGCTGAACCCTACAGCCTCACCGCCTCACTCTGCCTTGGTATACACAATCTGGGCACATGCATATGTCTGTTTCCCTGAGTGCACTGGTGCTTCTTGATGGTGAGTGGCCCAGGCCTGGCACCTAGCAAGCATCAAATGTTGCCTGAATTGGTGTAGGTAGGGCCATCCTGCTTTCCTTCAACTTTACTTATTTATTTATTTATTTATCTATTTATTTATTTACTGAAATCCTATTATATGCTAAAGCCCTGTGCTAGGCCCTGGGGACATAGCAGTAAATAAGTCACACAATGTCAGGGGGCTTCCATTCTAGTGGGGGAAGCAGAGAGGGAATTGAAAAGAAGCAACAATATTGCAGGTTGTAATACGTGCTGTGCAGGAAATAAACAAGGTGATGATCCCAGTAAGTGGGTGGACCTTCATGTGGGGGGAGGGGACATATCAGGAAAGGCCTTTCTGAGGAGATGACATGTAAGCTGAGACCTGAGGAAGAGTAGAAACTGGGATGTGAAGAGCTGGAAAGGGTGTTCTAGGTAGAGGGAACAGCAAGAACAAAGGCCTGGAGGTGGAGGAGTTTCTGGGACCCTGGGGAGTCCGTGTTTCAGCCTAAAGGAGGGCTTGAGTGGGGAGGTTAGGAGGGGTTAAGGAGTTCCATCTTGGGGACTGCTCAGGGCCAGCTCTGGGCTAGGGGTTTAGAGGGGAAGGGATGACCTTTTTAATGCCACCTTGCTGCCTGTTGCCTAGCACCCACAGCAAACAGTGCTGCTGGCAGGCCTTACCCTCACTCCCTGGGCTCCCCTCTGACTGGCAGCAGCTGTCAAATGACCAGCAGCTGAGGCTTTGCCAACCTCCTCCCCTGGAATATTTCAGGGGTAAGTCAGAAAATGACCAGCTGCCTCCAAAACCCAGCTTTTCTTGTGCATCATACCTTACAAGGGTGTGTTTGGCTGCCTTGGGTGTTAATCTCCCACCCCTTGCATTAGACAGAGAGATATAAATATACAGCCACAGGCAGCACACTCAGATACGTGAATTAATGAACACAGACGCAGGCCTCCCTCACCCACAGCAGACACTCCTCATATGCACACTCCTCACACCCATCCACACTCACCCGCCTCGGCCCCCAGGCACTCAGGTACACAGTCACACACAGGACTATACACATGCCCCACAATCACACACAGGACTATACACATGCCCCACAATCACACACAGGACTATACACATGCCCCACAATCACACACAGGACTATACACATGCCCCACAATCACACACAGGACTATACACATGCCCCACAATCACACACAGGACTATCACATGCCCCACAATCACACACAGGCCTATACACATGCCCCACAATCACACACAGGCCTATACACATGCCCCACAATCACACACAGGACTATACACATGCCCCACAATCACACACAGGACTATACACATGCCCCACAATCACACACAGGCCTGTACACATGCCCCACAATCACACACAGGCCTGTACACATGCCCCACAATCACACACAGGACTGTACACATGCCCCACAATCACACACAGGACTATACACATGCCCCACAATCACACACAGGCCTATACACATGCCCCACAATCACACACAGGCCTGTACACATGCCCCACAAACAGTCACAACAGTTGGCTGCACATAGATACTCCAGACACATAATCACTTCCCCTGGGGTTATACAATCACACGCAGACATGTACCCCACAGTCATCACAATCACTCATGGGCACACAATCCCACAATCTCCTGCTCTGCACACCACACACACACACAACCAGGTGGTGTTCATACAGCCAGCAGCGGGGGCACACTGATACAACAAACACTTCACACACGTCCAACACATTCACACACACACACACACACCCCCACTCCACACCCCACTCAAGGCCTCTCAGTGCACAGCATTCTTCTGCGATTAAGTCAAAGACCTCCCCACACAGGGGGCTCAGTGGAAAAAAGGCGTCAGAATGCCCGAGGCCCAGGCCTGGGAAGGGACGGGCAGCTTCTCTCTGGGGGAGAAAGAGTGCAGTGTTGGAAGTTTGCCCTGATACTGGTGGGCTAAGGGCTTGGGGTGGGGACATGCCTTGGAATGGACAGAAGTGGCGGGGGGGGGGGCGGGGGGGGATGAGGGGACAGGAGGGGTGGCATGTGACAGGTGGAGCAAGCCGAGAGACCCCAGGAAACCTCGCAGCGCCGGTGGGGGGTGGGGGGCGGTGCTGAAAGCTGTGTTCAATATGGACCTCAGGCTTATAGGCTGACAGCCCTCCCACACAGCCCGTCCCTAACCCAGCCACAGGCTCCCAGGCTGCCCACTGCCCGCTCACTCATGCGCTGTGGCTCCTTAGCCTTCCTCTGGCTCTGCAGGGCAGCGAGGTGCCCAACTGTGGCCGACATTCCCAAATGAGCGGGGGTGTGGGGTCCCTCTAGTCCTCCACCCCAAACCCTGCCCGTCTCCCCCACCGGCCAGGCCGGGACAGTGCTCTTCTGGGGCTGCAGAGCCACCTCGTCTCCTGATTCCCCGCAACGGGGACCTGGGAGGGGAAGGGTGGAGAGAAAGAAGGTTCCGGAAGATCCCCAGGCTGGCTGGTCTCGTGGACCCAGATAGCCACCCCCAGCCCCACCCCCAGCCCCACCGCAGGCTGGTCCCCGGAGGGGCGGCCTCTCCCCACCCTCTGGGGGCGCGGCCGGCTCCCTCCTCCCGCGGGCAGGAGTCGGGCCAAGTGGGCGCGCCCTCGGGCGGATCCGGTGTCGGCTGCAGCTGTCAGTGCGGCGGGCGCGGAGCCGGCGGCCGGCGGGGCCGCCTATTAATAACGCGCTGCCCGGCCCGGGTCGCGCAGCCATGGCCAGCTCGGAGCCCCGGCGCGGCGGCGACGGCGACGGCGACGGCGCCGCCCAGGCCGCGAGGTAGGACCGTCCAGGGCCCGCGGGGCGCCCCCGTGGGGAGGGGAGGCTGGACGGATTCCCTTCCCCCACCTACCAGCACCTTCTGCCGGGCGGGGTAGGGGACCGGGACCGGCGGGGTGCGGCACGGCGCGGGGCGGAGCCACCAGCGAAGGGAGATGGGGGGGGGGTCCCCGCTCAGGGTCCTGGCACCTCCGTTCGTCAGCGGCTTTTTATAATGCCCCCTCCCCTTCCTCGGGCCATGTGAGAATTAACCCTTTCAACCGCCAACTGCCATTTGGCCCGCAGCGGCCAAGGAGTTACTTGTTTCTTTCAGTCCTCACCCCAAACACAGCTGGAGGTGGAGGCCTCCTGCCTTCGCTGAGGAAGACTCTGGGTGCAAGGTTGGGCATCTGCCAGCTTGGAGTTAAGTCTGTTCAGGCAGCTTGTCCCCAGCTGTCTGGGGCCTGAAAAGGGGGTGCAGGGTCTACCTTCGCAGACGAGCAGGAGGGCCCTGGAGCTGAGGCCCTCCTGCATCCATCCACAGTCGGCTGGTTAGGGGGCAGGGACCTGTGGCTGAGGAACCCCGGGTCAGACTGTAGCCCTGGGCTTCCCAATGTACCAAGAGGTGGAGGCGCAAATACACCCCCCCACACACACCCCTCACTGTCACACACAGCACAAAGCTGAACAGTCTTACGCATACCCTCACCACTACTGCCATCACACATACAGGTACACGGAGTCAGACACACACCAATTCACATACACACATACAGATACACAGAGTCAGACACACACCAACTCACATACACACATACAGGTACACAGAGTCAGACACACACCAACTCACATACACACATACAGGTACACAGTCAGACACACACCAACTCACATACACACATACAGATACACAGAGTCAGACACACACCAACTCACATACACACATACAGGTACACAGTCAGACACACACCACCTCACATACACACATACAGGTACACGGAGTTAGACACACACCAACTCACATACACACATACAGGTACACAGACACACACCAACTCACATACACACATACAGGTACACGGAGTCAGACACACACCAACTCACATACACACATACAGGTACACAGTCACATACCAACTCACATACACACATACAGGTACACAGACACACACCACCTCACATACACACATACAGGTACACGGAGTCAGACACACACACCAACTCACACACATACAGGTACACAGACACACACCAACTCACATACACACATACAGGTACACAGTCAGACACACACCAACTCACATACACACATACAGGTACACAGAGTCAGACACACACCAACTCACATACACACATACAGGTACACGGAGTCAGACACACACCAACTCACATACACACATACAGGTACACGGAGTCAGACACACACACCAACTCACATACACACATACAGGTACACGGAGTCAGACACACACCAACTCACATACACACATACAGATACACAGAGTCAGACACACACCAACTCACATACACACATACAGGTACACAGTCAGACACACACACCAACTCACATACACACATACAGGTACAAGGAGTCAGACACACACACCAACTCACACACACATACAGGTACATAGTCAGACACACACCAACTCACATACACACATACAGGTACACGGAGTCAGACACACACACCAACTCACACACATACAGGTACACAGTCAGACATACACCAACTCATGCCTGCACAGTATCACAAACACTTACAGCCACAGCCCTAATGGACAGAGCTGGGTGCTGCTGGAGTCCGCTGGGGACAGGGACGGAGTGGCAGAGGCAGGCTCTTTGGGGCCAAGGAAGCCTCAGGTCAGCGGCCCCAGCTGAACTGGCTCCCCTGCCCCTGGGCCTCCCATAATCTACTTTCCCGCGTCCTTACAGAGAGGCAGCTGTGTGAGGGCAGCCTCTAGCCGAGGCCTGGCACTGTGGGCGGGTGACTAAGACAACATGGTGTATGTTAACAGCACCACCTGGAAAGTCAGGAGGCCTGGGTTCTACTTCCAGATTCGCTACTCGACCTTGGGCAAGCTTCCTCCTTGGACCTCAGTCGGTTTCTGCCTTCCTTCCTTCCACAGAGCCCCACCCTGGGATACAGAGAAAATGAGAACTTACTTGTCCTTAGAAAATGGAGTATCACAGGAGACAGACACAGGCACTTATAGCACAGAGCACTGAGTGCAAAGATGCGCTGCATACAACGTGCCTTAAGAATGCCAGGCACTTTAGGGTGGTCTGGGAAACACTTCACCGAGATGGACTTTAGCAGGGCTTGAATGATGAGGAGAAATTTGTTAGGCAAATATATACAAATACACTTTGAATGCTGTGGGCCAAGCTCTAGAGTACCTGCCCTCATTGTTTTACCTCTTTTAGACCTCATGCTTATTCTAAGAGCTGAGTGGTCAAAAGGAGCTCCGAATAAAACACAAAGACAAATAAAAAACAAAAACAGCCTAACTGATTTGGCTCAGTGGATAGAGCGTCGGCCTGCAGACTCAAGGGTCCCAGGTTCGATTCCGGTCAAGGGCATGTACCTTGGTTGCAGGCACATCCCCAGTAGGGGGTGTGCAGGAAGCAGCTGATTGATGTTTCTCTCTCATCGATGTTTCTAACTCTCTATCCCTCTCCCTTCCTCTCTGTAAAAAAAAATTAATAAAATATATTTAAAAAAATAAAATAAAATACAAAAAACCTCTTTAAAAACAAACAAACAAAAAAAACAGCTCTGGCTTTGGAGTGGAACCTTGAGTGAATTCTTTACTCTGTTTATGCCTTGGTTTCCTCATCTGTAACATGGGGCTAATAGATGAGCATCCTGTAAAGGAGTGTTCACGTAAAATGTGTGGAATCCTGCCATGAACACAGCTATGTCCTTCCAGGGTGGAGGACTCCGCAGGAGGGTGGTCTCGGGTCCGCCTGCTAGCTGCTGAGGATCAGGGTGGGTTCTGGCTGGCTGAGCAGGTGCATCCTTCCTGGGCACTGGGAGCTCTACCTTTCCAGAACTGTTCTCTGGTTGGGTGGCGTACAGAGAGCAGTATTCCCTCAGCTGGATCCTTTAGACCAGGGGTCCTCAAACTACGGCCCACGGGCCACATGCAAATACAAATATTGTATTTGTTCCCGTTTTGTTTTTTTACTTCAAAATAAGATATGTGCAGTGTGCATAGGAATTTGTTCATATATTTTTTTTTAAAACTATAGTCTGGCCCTCCAACGGTCTGAGGGACAGTGAACTGGCCCTGTTTAAAAAGTTTGAGGACCCCTGCTTTAGACATTGTGGGCCTGGGGTAGAAGGTATAAAAAGGTAATGCATGGCCCTAGCTGGTTTGGCTCACTGGATAGAGCATCAGCCTGGGGACTGAAGGGTCCCAGGTTCGATTCCAGTCAAGGGCATGTGCCTTGGTTGTGGGCACATCCCCAGTGGGGGGTGTGCAGGAGGCAGCTGATCGATGCTTCTCTCTCATCGATGTTTCTAACTCTCTATCCCTCTCCCTTCCTCTCTGTAAAAAATCAATAAATATATATTTTAAAAAAAAAAAGGCAATGCATGTTCCAGATGGTCAAGCATTGGGTGGGCTCCTGGGGAGTGAGATGAGGCTGAAAAGGTATGTTGGGGCTACATCTTTAAGGGCCTTAAGTCTCTGCTAAGCAGTTGGTTATCTATGGGTGACGTAGGGCGACATGGTTTGCTTTATGTTGTAGCAAATTGTAGAGCATAGACTAGGATGAGAAGGCCTGTTGGAAGGCTGGCACAGATTCGCAGGTGAGAGATGATGACTTGGACTAGGGCCCTGGCAGTGGATGGAGAGGGGGATGGGGACTGCAGACTTTGGGAGACAGAAGGGTTAGTTCTCAGTAAGTTGGCTGTATAGGGGAGGGAAGAGATGTTTAAAGATTTCTTGTCTCATCAAGCTGTTGATATGTTTCACTGAGCTGGAGACTACAGGTGCAGCAAGCTCCAGGAGAATAATAATTTAGGGCAGTTGAGTTTGAGGTGCAAAGTAACATCTGGTAAAGATATCTAAGAAGCACTTTCTCTCTGGTAAAGTGATGTGAATGGACTAGGTGACTGTCGAGGTTGTCTTGGAACTTTATGTTTTGGTGTGGGTGCTGGGTTGAAGGAGGCCAGTGATGTTTGGGGCCTGATGAAACCATACTTTTGTAGTTTCCAGAGGGCCAACATGAGAAAACAAAGGAAACCCTGGGATTCCCGGGGTGTTAGAGAGGACAGAGTACAGGATGATTTAGAGTAAAAATAACCTTTATTGGGAACTTGGAATAAGATATAGAGCTTCAAACCTGGACACAAGTAGGCCTTTTCAAAACAGAGCAATCAAAATCTTTCATAGATGGAACTTTTTACTTTTACTTATACTTTATGTCTAAAAAATGTTTCTTGAAAGCAATAGTCAAATTTAGTTTGTTTTATAACTGGTATACATTAAATATCAGGTTTTTTTTTTTGAGTAAAGTACTTAATCGCTTTAACCTCAGTTTCCTGATCTGTAAAACGGGGATAAATGTAACTAACTACCTCATAGAATTGTTATGAGGATTAAATGAGTTGACATACATAAAGCATTTAAAACAGGGCCTGGCACACATAAGACCTCTATAATAATTATTATTTCCATGGTATTTTATATTTTCAAGGAATTGCTTAGAGATCCAAGGTAGGTGAGATGCATTTGAAACAGGAAAGACAAAGCCACTTGAGGGCCAAAGGAACAGGGGAGCATTCGTTGACGGGAACTGATCTAGCTAGCAGGCAATGGGTAGCTGGGTTATCGGGCTCATTTGTTAGAATCACAGAATCTAAGAGACTTTACAGGCTAGAAGGATTGACATTTTACAGGAACAGAGATGTGGTTTTACTTGCTGTGAAGAAGTCTTAAGAATTTTAGTCAAACTCAGCATTTGTCAAGAACATGATGGGCCAGCCCTATATGCTAAGAGGGAATCTTGGCTGCATCAATAGTGTCTGGAGATTGACTGCTTAGAGCACACCTGGGTGTTGCTCCAATACCCAACCCCAAGGGACAGTGACAATTTGGAGCCTAGTCGGAAAGAAGTGACCCAAATGAGGAAGGCCCTGGAAAACTTGGCACGCATGGAATTGAAAGACACGTTAGTTCTTGTTAAGTGTTTAGTGAACTTACATGGGAGAGGAGTTAGACTTCTCTGATTCTAGAAAGAAGAATCAAGTCCAGGTAAAAAAGGTTTATGATAGCGAAACAAATAGTGGTTAGTTTCCTGGCCTTAAAGGTATGTAGCTGACTAGACTTTGACATCATGGGTATGTTGTCAGAGGATCTAAGCAATGGGCTGTGAGGGGATAAGTCAGTGGAGGGAAGGGAGCAGACAAGTGCTGAGATGTGAGAAGCTGATATGATTTAGGTCTATGGCCTAATGGCTCCAGCCATGAACCATCCTGGGATTGTGGCTGCCCTCTCACTTTAAGTCATTTCTTTTGCAGGGAAACAAGAGCACAGGCCACTTCTTTTCAAGAGGAGGGACACTCTGAATGCCTGGATGATACTTTTCCTTTGGAGGGGATCTTGAATATAGAGGACATGCTCTTCCTGGGGGACACAGGTGACTTTGATGACATCCTGTATCTGGAAGAGACTGGGCAGCCTGAGGAGACACTGTATATAGAGGATAACAGGCAGCCAAATGAGGCCGTGTGCGTGGAGGAGCCTGTGAAGCAGGAGGACACACTGTGTGTGGAGGAGCCTGTGAAGCCGGAGGACACACTGTGTGTGGAGGAGCCTGTGAAGCCGGAGGACACACTGTGTGTGGAGGAGCCTGTGAAGCAGGAGGACACACTGTGTGTGGAGGAGCCTGTGAAGCCGGAGGACACACTGTGTGTGGAGGAGCCTGTGAAGCTGGAGGAGACAAGCCCAGAGCAGATGGCTTATGGGGGAGAGACGGTCACAAACGAAGAGAAGCCTAACCCTGAGAGCCTTGGAGCCGGGTCTAGTCCCAGCACAGAGAGCCTGAGCATAGAGGACCTAGAATTGCTCGAGGGGCGTTTCCAGGAATGTGTCCAAGCTGTGGCCCAGCTGGAAGAGGAGCGGGATCAGCTCATCCATGAGCTTGTGTTGCTCCGGGAACCAGCTCTCCAGGAGGTGCAACAAGTCCATCAGGACATCCTGGATGCCTACAAACTGCATGCTCAAGCAGAGCTGGAGAGGGATGGGCTCAGGGAGGAGATCCACCTGGTCAAGCAGAAGCTGTTCAAGGTGACCAAGGAGTGTGTGGCCTACCAATACCAGCTGGAGTGCCGCCAGCAGGAAGTGGCCCAGTTTGCCGATTTCCGGGAAGTGCTGACCGCACGGGCAGCCCAGCTCTCAGAGGAACTGGCCCAGCTCCGGGATGCCTATCAGAAGCAGAAGGAGCAGTTACGGCAGCAAATAGAAGCACCTCCAAGCCAGAGGGAAGGACACTTCCTGCAGGAGAGCCGGCAGCTCTCTGCCCAGTTTGAGAACCTCGTGGCAGAGAGCCGCCAGGGCCTGGAGGAGGAGTATGAGCCTCAGCTGGTGCGGCTCCTAGAGAGGAAAGAAGCCGCTGCCAAAGCCCTGCAGAAAACCCAGGCAGAGATCCAGCAGATGAAGGAGGCTCTGCGGCCCCTGCAAGCAGAGGCCCAGCAGCTCCATCTGCTAAACAGGAACCTGGAGAACCAGATCACACTTGTGAGGCAAAAACGCGACGAGGAAGTGCAGCAGTACAGGGTAGGCCCAGTGGGCAGGAAAGGAATTCGGTCTCTTAGCTTGGGGAAGGGAAAAGGAAGGGGTCAAATATCTTTTGGGCTGAAGGACACACACTGTCATATGTAGGAACGACTTCTTTTGAGGTCTGTGGTAGAGGCTGAAATTGACTTGCACTCTTAATTTAAACCCTTTTATACCAATTATCTCATTTGATCCTCTCATTAATCCCCCAAATCCTTTATTATTTTTTAAATCCTTACCTGATAATATTTTTTTTCTTTACAAATATTTTTTTATTGATTTCAGAGAGGAAGGGAGAGGGAGAGAGAGAAACGTCAATGATGAGAAGGAATCATTGATCGGCTGCCTCCTGCACGCCCCACAACTGGGGATCCAGCCTGCAACAAAGGCACATGCCCTGATCAGAACCGAACTGTGACCTCCTGGTTCATAGGTCTATGCTCAACCACTGAGCCATGCCAGTCGGACCCAAAGGTATTTTTCCCATTGATTTTTAGAAAGTGGAAGGTAGGAGGTGGGGGGGAGAGGGGGGAGTGGAGAAACATCGATGCGAGTGACACATCAACTGGTTGCCGCCCGCAGGCACCCCAGCTGGGGCTGGGGATTGAACTGCAACCAAGGTATGTGCCCTTCACCGGGAATCAAACCTGTCACCCTTCAGTCCGAGGCTCTAACTACTAAGAAAAACTGGCCAGAGCCATTATTATTAATATTATTTTTAGAGGAAACAGGCTCAGTGAGCCAGAGTAATTTTTTGTAAGATGTTTTGTTTTTAGAGAGGAAGGGAGAGGGATAGAAACATCAATGAGAGACCATCATCGATTGGCTGCCTCCTGCATGCCCCCCACTTGGGATCAAGCCTACAACCCCAGGCATGTGCCCTGACTGGGAATCAAACTGTGACCTCCTGGTTCATGGGTCGACGTTCAATCACTGAGCCACTCCAACCAGGGAAAAACCCTCTTGATGAGTGTCTTTCATAGCTTTACCATAATTAAAGGAATCAAGGTCTGAAGGAGCTAATTCTTTCTGAATGGCTTCTTAAATTGTTCATCAAAGGTCGCGTATGGCACCTGATTACTTTTCAAAGGTACACTTTACTCTTACAGTTGTAAATACTGCCTCTTTCAAATATTCAACAGCTATTATCTACTTACTGTGTGCCAGGGAGTGAACTACGTGCTGACAAAAGAAATGAGAAACGGGGAGGGGAAGAGTTTCTGCTCTCCAACAGTTTAGTCAGGAAGGATACCAGATAAAATGAACATATTTCATAAAATCTAAGACACTTGATTTTAAGATGCACTCTGATCTGTTAAAATGTCAAAGCCTTAGAATCAATGAAATACAGGGCTTCAATGTGATAAACACTGTAATAGTTATAGGAATAAGGCATGTACTGCTGAAGCATGTATAATTACCCCTGCCTAGAAATTTTGAGAATCGGTTAATAGATGGCATATAGTTGAAGTTCTTTACATGTAGTAATTCATTTCTTACCTAAGATAGGTATGAACTACTGTCATCATTTGAAAAATGAGAAAACAGATGAGAAAGAAGTCATTTGTCCAAGGTTATGTATCTAGGACGTGATGCATATAATAACCCTGAGCAATCTAGCTCAAGCCCATAGTCAACCACAATGTGTTTGTATAAATGAATTTATGGGGTAGACAAGGGAAAGGCTTTCCAAGCAGAGGGAACAGCCTACACAAAAGCAAGAAAACACAAAAAGACATACTATAGTAAGTGAGGGTGGCTGGATCATAAGGAATGTGAGCAGAGTGATGAGGCTGGAGAGGTAGATGGGGATCAGAATGTAAAGGGCTTTGTGTAATCTTTGATAAGCAGTTTTCAAAAAGAAGTTTTCTCCAAAGCCAGGTCCTTTCCACAAAATAGAATTTTAGATGAAACGCCAATATATAAAACAGGCAAAAGTGGAGCTACTAGTGGCAAGGACACTTCATTTTGGCTTCTTCCTGGGTTTCATGGGACAGTTTGAAGATCACTAAAGAGCCATAAGAATATGAGCTTGTGCAAGTTTGTCTTAATGGAAACAAACTTACACAAGTCCTGGCTCTACCACTTTCTAACTGGGGGAAACTTTGGACAATTACTTAATCCACATGGCTCTGCTCCCTCACATGTAATATACCTCATAGGGCTTTTGCAAGGAATGAACCAGTTAATGTTTCTAAAGCACATGCAATGGTGCCTGGCCCATAGGTATGTACTCATAAAAGTGGCAGTATGGTGGGTGGATTGAAAAAGCCAGGAAGACAACTTAGACTTTATGAGAGAGATGATGAGAGATATGTAGGATAAAATGGTAGGACTTGGTGACTGGCTACAGTGGGTGAGGTGAGAAATTTGCTGAGAACGTTAACTGGAAATTGGTAGGTTGCTAATGCTGAAACATGGAATATATTTACTATCTGCAAGTTTCCCATCAACAGCCATTATGTGTACTCCCAAGAACCTACAATCTGGGAGTAACACATGAATTTAAAAGATAAATAGCAATACAACAGCAGATGTTGTCTATTGTGTCAGAAGTAAAGGCATAGAGATCTGAGTTGGTCAGGCTTGAGCAGCACCGTCCAACACAATCTCATGCAAGACACAGATGCCACTTAAAAAAATAGGTGAAATATTTTATGTAACCCAGCATATAAAAACATAATTTCTTCATGTAGCCAAGTCTTAGAAATCTTACACTTATAGACATCTCAATTTGGACGAGCCATATTTCAAGTACTCAGCCCCATGTGGCTAGTGACTTCCATACCGGAGAGTGCAAGATACAGGAAAATGTTCATATTGAAAGAGGAATGGAGGTTCTAGTTAGAGGTAGGGGTAAAACTGGAGGGCGTCTAGATTAAAGGAAGTGGGAAGCCTTTGAAAGATTGAGATAGAGCAGATTTTAGAAAGTTAATCTATTGGCGCTACATCAGATTAAGACGAGATTGTCCTTAACGCCAGTCATTGTAGCAATATATCTTTCACCGAGTTTCTTCCTGTCAGAGCACTGATGGGACAGACTGCCTTCTCAAGCATGTACTTTTGTGCCTTGTCAAAATAACAGGTTTGCTAGTGGAATTTGGGAAATCGGGGCAGAGGTATGCAAATACTTCCCTTCAGATGACATGAGAGTAAGGCCCCATTTCTGTGTGGTGTCAAAGCATGACTAAGCACAAAAAAGGCCGTTAATAAATAAATAAAAAAGGCCTTTTGATAATGTTTATGTAAATTGAGAGTCAGCCAGAATATCAACCATTGCAGATTGATGTGCCACAGGTATTATAAAGGATGACTCAGAGAACAAATTATTTAGATACTTCTAATAGCATGTACCCAAACTGGATTCCTATCTTTTTTCTTTTTAAAATATATTTTTATTGATTTCAGAGGGAGATAGAAACATCAATGATGAGAATCAACTGGCTGCCTCCTGCACACCCCCTACTGGGGATTGAGCCTGCAACCCAGGCCATGTGCCCTTGATCGGAATCGAACCTGGGACCCTTCAGTCCACAGCTCTATCCACTGAGCCAAACCAGCTAGGGCTGGATTCCTATCTTACTATTCTTCAAAATTTGAGAAGTCACTGCCCTTTTAAAATATGCCTTCAAACTTTAATGCTTTCCCAACTCCCTCACACTTCCTAAGGATCCATGCCAGCTAGGAACAAACACCAGGCTGATTTGCAGACACCTTCCTTACCTCATTCCTCAGGCATTAAACCTCAGCAGAGACAATTTACAGAATGCATCCTGCCTGTTGGCAGAATGGGAAAGTTATCTGAAAGCTCCAGAGGGCCCACAGGGCATAGCATCTTTTTTCGTTTTTAAAGAAATTCTATTATTCTTTTTAAAAATATGTATTTTTATTGGTTTAAGATAGGGAAAGAAACATCACCGATGACAGAGAATCTTTAATTGGCTGCCTCCTGCACATCCCCTACTGGGGATCGAGCCCACAACCTGGGCATGTGCCCTTCGCTGGAATCGAACTTGGGACCCTTCAGTCCCAGCCCGACGCTCTATCCACTGAGTCAAACCTGCTAGGGCTAGCATCTTTTTCCAACTTAACATTTTTTAACAAATTCAGTCTTAATGGAAACAAACTTGCTCATAGAGTAAGCAAGGTGTATAAAATTCTCAGCTCACCAAGAGGACCAAAACCCTCCCCAACACTTCTTAACATTGTGAAACTAAAAGTCCCTCTGAGTATTGCCGTTGCAGGATTACATTAAGTAAACTGTGGTTGAAGGACAAGACTCCTTTCTTCACCATCTTCAAATGGAGTATCACTTTGTCAAAACAAATCTGTTTCAACCTTAATACTTCTATGAAGATTGAACAATATACAAGAAAGTGCTTTGTAAACTATAATGGACAATGTAAGATTTTTATTGTTCGGCTCATCAGGTATGTTCTTGGCCCTCTTATGCAGGAACAGCTGGAGAAAATGGAAGAACAACAGACACAATTAAGAAATGGAGTGCAACTCCAGGAACAGAAGAACAAAGAGATGGAGCAGCTAAGGATCAGCCTTACTGAAGAGCTTGCAACTTATAAGTCAGTTTTTGCTGCTTACCCAAATCTCAACTAACACTGGCTGGCGAGATGGATGGTGGGGAGGGCAGACGTTGCTCAAGGGAAATTTCACTCAACAGTGGGAGACAAATGAAAACTGGGAAATTTTTTTTCATCCATGAACAGATGGAAAATGGCTCTCTCTTTTTTTTAAGGGCTATGCTACCCAAGAGCCCGGAACAGGCTAATACTCCCACTTCTCAGGCAGGTGGAATCGAGACACAGTCTCAAGGTGATCCTTGTGGGTACAAGAGTGGAGTTTGCATTTTACTTTCTTAACAATACTAATACCTTAAAAGAACTTAAGTGTGTGTCTAATGACAAATCATGTAGGGATAACACATACCTCCAAATTGCCTGGTTCAAGCATTCAGGGTTCATTTGGAATGCTTGTTTCTGATAGGACTAAAAAAAATATGCCCTAATTATCACCAGGAATTCTGTAACAGGATAAAATATCTAAGCTCTGCATTCTCCCACCTTACCCCACCTGCTATTCATAAATAGTTTCCTTAGAATAGCAGAAGGTAGTTATGCTACCTAAATCCAAACTATGACAAAGAGGCCACGGCAGCAAAATTTATCTGTATAGAAAAGCTGAAGAGGGTGTTGTTTATAAGCGAAGGAAAAGGATTATTGCTTAGTATGTGAAACAAGCGACACACCTATCCATTAATTTCTCTATATAACAGTATGTTCTCATTTTTCACATTTTAGATTCTCTTGGATAAAGAGACTAAGAATAAAAAAGGTCTGTCAAGTATATACTAGTTAGATGCCCATAAATTTTATTCTCAATTTCCTAGTTCATCTTACAGCTTGGATACAAACTCACAAATGACTACTGTAACTAATGCTTTTCCTAACTCACTAGGACTTTCTTTTACTGTGTTTTTTTCCAGGCATAACAGACTGCGCTTATTGTTTGGGAGATTACTAGAACCATGTAATTGAGGAAAATGATCTGCTAAACACCTTTGTGTGGATCAGATTAAAAGTACAATAGGGAAAAAGCAACGATTAATTCAAAGAAACAAAACTACAGAATTTCAGGCACTGTAATACCTGTGTAAATTTAACCTGGACAGAGAAAAATTTTAGCTAGCCCCTCCCATCACCATCACCATCACCATCACACATTCATTACTTTGCAAATAAGAATCACCCAAATATTTCATAGGGGAAAGTCAACCCTGATCATATGTGAGTCACAGTCTAGCAATCTCTGCCCCCAACAAAACCTACAATAAATTTCCTAAGTTCAGTCATAAACTTTATACTGCACTAGAGACCTGGTGCACAAAATTTGTGCACTGAGGGGGAGGGGTAGGGAGGGGGTCTCTCTGCCTGGCCTGCACCCTCTCAGTCTGGGAGCCGGCAGTTGGACAACCTTAGCACTGCCGTGGAGGTGGGAGAGGCTCCTGCCACCGCCACAGTGCTAGGGTGAGCACACTGACCACCAGGGGGGCAGCTCCTGCGTTGAGTGTCTGCCCCCTGGTGGTCAGTGCGCATCATAGTGACCGGCCATTCCACAGTTCGGTCGATTTACACGTTAGCCTTTTATTATATAGGATTATTTAAAGTTGCAGAAATAATAAATTTATTCTTTTTTTCTTTCAATCTTACAGGAGCTGTTTAGAAATGTATGGCCAAATCTGTAACCCAGAAACAACCAAAAAAGCTTCTTAACAAAGGATCACTTAAGTACCCTTTTCCAAACACAGAAGAGAGTGCCAGGGACTTGGCAAGCAATTCACCCTGGGGAAGATACAAATACTGGCTGACCTGTTTAAAAAGATTCTAGGCTGGCTGGAGGCAGAACACACCCGTCAGCTCTTAGCTGGATTCTATTTCACAGGCTACTGGTAATGATTTCAATGCACGAAGGAACAGCAAAAAAAAAAAAAAAAAAAGAGCCTCCTGTCCCTCCTGTCCACCAGCAGCAAAGGATGAATACATGCATCCCTGCAGCCTTGTGCAGAATGAAACTTGCCTTGTTATTGACCTAAACCAAAAACATTTTTTTTTGGAGCACAGGTGGGGTCAAAAGGCAGCCAATTTTCATTATATGGGTTTATAATTTGAATTCTTTTGTGCCATGAGTGTTGGACTTTTAATGAATCCTTTTACAAAGTTTACTTTTTATGCTGACGCATAGTTTACTCTTGTGTCAAGATAATTTTCACTATACTCTAAAAGAACTTAGTTCCAGAAAAAAAGGAACTAAATTTGAATCTAAAGGTTAAGGATATTCAGATTTCCCTAAAGATCATGCCTCATGAAAATGATTTTTGGTGAGTAATCTACTCAGTTAAACTGAGTGATTGCAAAGAACCAGGCATTTTATCTGGTTATGGTACGTGGCTTTCAGCCTTTATTTCTCACTTCTAAGAACAGGTCCCAGTGAAAAACATACTGGGGAGATTCAACCTCTATGAGAAAAGGTTCAAACACCTTTTCCAAATTTAAATTTTGCCTTAAAATCTTTCTGCCACACTGCCTTTGACATGCTTGAAAGTCCATGTAGTTCTCTATGAATAGACTTCAAAAAGATGTTATTTTATCGAAGACTAATCTGTATACCTACGATTCTATGTTTTATGTCTTTCACTTTCCCTGTGAAGGAGTAAAACTGTTTTCTATAGCTCTGGGTCTATTATAATTAATTCTGCTCTTGGTAGTCAAAGACCACAGAAAATAACTGTCATCTGAAGAATTCTTCTAGAAGCCAGAGACTGGTGTTTGATAGATATTATATTATATACTAAATAAAGCCCATCAGCATTGGGTTATGTAGAAAAGCAATTTATTTCATTATAAGCACTTACACAGTTAGTCATAGAGAGTAACAGGCCTGTTAGTGAAACAGGTCACCCAAAACAGAGATGGTATCAAACTAGTGGTCAAGGACTAACTCCTAAAAAAAAAGCAACTCTTATCCAGGATTAATTTAATTTTAAAAACAAATACAAGCTATAGATTCACTCTTCTCAACTTAGCTGGACAGCCTACCTGTGGTATAACTGTCAGGTAAAAACATACATCTTTACAACTTGGTGGTCCCAAGTTTTTTAAAAAAACCATTTCACAGAAAGGAAAGAAATAATATGAAATCAGCTCAAGAAATACACTAACAAGCAAAAATATATGGAAAACAGGAACACATACTTTTGACTTAAGAAACGGAGAGGAGACTAGTCTACGTAGGAAATGTGCATCCTGGAAAGTCAGGTGTGAAGATTTTAGAGTAAGGAATTTATGACTCAAATCTCCCCTAATTCCTGAATAAAAACATCTTGCAGTACTTACACTTCATGGCTCACACACCTACCTCTCTTGGCTCTATTCCTTATTTACTTCTAGCCTTTACTTAAATGAGCCTGAAAAATGTGGGGATATGGCATACAGAGAAAAATAAAATAACCACACACAATATTCCCCTTTCAGTGGCTACTTTAGATCTTTGATACTAGAAAATTCCTGAAAAAAATTTAAATATTAAGTCTGTGGCTTTGCTGAATCAAGCCCCTCAGTTAATATTTAGAAAACACCCTTGGATTGGGTTAATAACATTGTTGATGGTACCTATTATAGAGGGATAGCTGAACAAAGTCTGTGTCTCAGAACCAGTGTTAAATCACTATCAGGGTTGAGAGGAAAAGGGCAGGCAGTCTAAAATTACAAGTGCAGATGAATCTAGGACCCCTGTCCTTCTGGATCCACACTTCCTTCAGGGTCTTCATCATTATAAATATTCTCTGCCTGTCCAAAAAAACATGAAAAAGAGAAAAGGGTATTTAGTAAACATGAACGCAAGTTCTTAAAGTTAAGGTTTCAAAAACAGATTAGGTCAGGTAAAAGGTTATGGGTCATATAGTCTCTGTTACAACTATTCAACTCTGCAGTTCCTGGATGACAGCAGCTAGACAATCTGCAGATGAATGGGTATGTCTGTGTGCCAATAAAAGCAGACAGCTGGCCCACGGGCCAACACCCTGGATTAGGACATTCCCACAAAACTTAAGTACGGTTACTGAATGTCTTGATAATCAACCTTCTTGAGTCCTTCAGTCAGACATCATTCATCATAGTAAAAAGCCCTGGCTTGTGTGGCCCAATAGGTTGAGTATAATCCTGTGCACTGAGAAGTGCACCAGAAATTGATTCTGGGTCGACCCTTGGTTGCAGGCTCAATCCCCAGTAGGCAATGGACATTTTTCTCTTTCCCTCTCCCTCTCCCTCTCAAATCACTAAAAATAAATACAAAAATAAAAATACAGTAAAAACACAAATGTTCACAGACTAATGAATAAATAAAATGATATATCTATACAATAAAATGTTATTTGACAATAAAAAAACCTAGTCATGACCTAGCCGGTTTGGCTCAGTGGATAGAGCGTCGGCCTATGGACTGAAAGGTCCCAGGTTTGATTCCAGTCAAGGGCACATGCCCAGGTTGTGGGCTTGATCCCCTTTGGGGGTGTGTGCAGGAGGCAGCTGATCAATGATTCTCTCATCACTGATGTTTCTCTCTCTCTCTCTCCCTCTCCCTTCCCGATTAAAACAAACAAAAAAACACATACAAAAAAAACCCAGTCACATATTGTGATTTTATTTATATTAAATGTTCAGAATAGGCAAATCCATAGAGAAAGTAGATTGGTGGTTGCCTAGTGCTGGGTGGACTAGAGGAAAATGGGGAGTGATAGCTAATGGATATGGGTGGTTATGGGGCTTCTTTTTGGCATAACTGGGGTACTGGTTGCATAATTCTGTGAATATACAAAAATCACTGAATTATGTAAAAAAAAAAAAGAAGAAAAAAGAAACCCCATCCCACCATCACTGTATGTTCCAAATCTTAATTTATAATTTTTTAAAATAAAAAAATGCTCTTGCGTATAAAAAACTCTACTTCTAGTTCTTGATGAAACATCTGTCTACAAAGGCATAATGTTAATTACAGACACCACTTTCATTTAGACAAAATTTATTGTTCTTAGTTTAGCACCTACTATGCATAAATCACCAGGCTAGATGCTACAAAGTATGGGATACACTTGTTTTTGAGGAGCTTGTGATCTGACCGCAGGGAAATGTATACAATTGTGTGTTTTCTGACAATGAATGTATAATGCCTTTTCCCCTGACACCAATTCTCTAATGCCAACTGGGCATCCAACATGTCACTTCAATCCTGACATTAACTAATTAGAGGTAGTGCTAGACTTCACAGGTTTGAGGGATGTGACTGAGGGCTCAGTGCCACAAGACTATCCTCACTTTGGGCACCAGTAATATGAGTGCTATGAGTACCCAGGCTACTTGTTACTTATAAGGAGTCCCTTATAAATAAATTTGTTGACTATAAATGTGGGGATTCCACAACCCTCTACTCAGGTTTGATAATATGTTGGAATGACTCACTAAATTCAGGTAAGTGCTTTATTTACTACTAATGGCCCGGTGCACCGATTTGTGCACCAGTGGGGTGCCTCAGCCTGGCCTGCACCCTCTTGCAATCCAGGAGCCCTCGGGGGATGTCGGACTGCTGGTTTCGGCCTGATTCCCGCAGGCCAGGCCGAGGGACCCTACAGGTGCATGAATCCGTGCATCATGCACCCGGCCTCTAGTATGCATATAAGATCTTTGGTTAATCTCTTCCCGCTTCCCCCAGAGATTCATCCGTCTGTTCCATGTTTCCATGCCTGTGCATTGAGTGTCTGCACCCCTGGTGGTCAGTGCACATCATAGCTACCAGTCAAACGGTCAGACACTTATATGGCAAGGTGAGAGGGAGGACAGAGCTTCCATGTTGTCTCTGGGTGGCATCAATATGTTCACCAACCTGGAAGTTGATCAGATCAAGAGCTTTTCATGGGCTTTTCCAAAACTTTTTATAGAGCTCAATCCCCTATCTGCGGGTTAGTGGAACTGAAAGTTCTAACTCTCTAATCAAGTGTTTGGTCTTTCTGGAGACCAGCCTCATCCTGAGGCTATATCTAGGGGCCCCTTAAGTCACCTCCTTACCCTAAACTAAGGTGTGCCCCAAAGGGACTCCTTAT